GTTTCTCTCCAGAATGAATGACATGATGTCTAATAAGGATTGAGCTATCACTGAAGGCTTTCCCACATTCATTATATTCATATGGTTTCTCTCTAGTATGAATTTTATGATGGATTATGAGGTTTGTACTCTGGCTGAAGTCTTTCCCACATTGATTGCACTTACAAGGTTTCTTTCTAGTATGAATTCTCTGATGGTTTGTGAGATTTGCACTCTGACTGAAGGCTTTACCACATTCATTACATTTATAGAGTTTTTTTCCATTATGAATTCTCTGATGGTGAATGAAGGCTGCACAATAACCAAAGAATTTTCCACACTGAATACATTTATAGGGTTTCTCTCCAGTATGAGCTCTTCGATAGTTTGTGAGATTTGCACTGTGCCAGAAGGCTTTTTCACATTCATTACATTCATAAGGTTTCTCTCCAGTATGAATTCTCTGATGTTGAATAAGGGCTGAGCAGTTACAGAAGGCTCTCTCACATTCATTACATTTATAGGGTTTTTCTCCAGTATGACTTTTCTGATGCTGAGAAAGGGAAGAGCAGTAACTGAAGCCTTTTCCACAATCATTACAAGCATAGGTTTTTTCTTCAGCATGTATCTTATGATGTTTAAGTAGGTCTGAATTCTTTCTATGTGTGTTACATTTAAGGAGGTTTTTTCCTGCAGGAATTCTCTGTTGCATAACAAGGACTGACCTCAGGCCAAAGTTCCTCCCAGGTTCACTACCTTCATGACCTCTCTCTCCAGGGGAAGGTTTCTTGTGAATGATTTTTACTTTCCTTAAATCTCTCTCTTGGTTTTCCTGCTGACTCTCTAGTCTGCCATCACATTCCCAGGTCTCTTGAAATGTGGGGTCCTCTGGACCAATTCTTGGTAGTGTTGCTATTATTGCTTCTTTGAGTGCAGTTGAGTTATCTTCAAAAAAGTCAGATCTAGGTACAGTCTCCCAGTCTGAACAGGTATTTCCTGGGTCTTCTTTCCTGGATATCTATGAGTCTTCTCCTTGCTCCAACTCAGAGTTCACATCAGGTTTAGAAAATGGAAGCCCCAGCAAAACCAGATTCCTGTACTTCTCCAGCATCAGGTCCTTGTACAGGTCTTCTGAGGAAGGTCTAGTTGCCCCTACTCAGCCTGAGTGAAGTCCATGACCACATCTTTAAATGCCACAGATTTCCATTTCTCAAGGCATGGTTCAAACTCGATCTCTTCCATGAAGCCTCCCAATGACATTAACTGGGACCTAGCTGACAAGAGCACACCAGCCAACCCTCATCTTCTAGTCTCCCTTCTTCAGAATGGACAGAGTGCTGAGAATACAGAGCTGAGAAAGGAGAGGATGGGTGAAGAGGGGGTGGGTCTGTTCTCCCGTAGTCCAAAGCGGGGCATTAATCCATCCCTCCTAGCCACTGACCCCTTACACCCAAGCCTCCAGTAACTCTCACCTTCTTACAGCATCAGGGTAGGATGCGCTAGGTCGCTGCCTCCTGGACCGCCCCTGGATGGAGGGGAGATGGGTGGCTTCCCTTAAGCTCTGACTTCTCTGAGCAGGAGGGTTACCAGCTATAAGGCAGAAAAGGCTCTTCTCCGTGATTCTCCCTCCTCGGTCTCGAAGAACCGAAGGGAGGGCTCTAGTCAGCAACCTATGATCAAAGGATATTGACACCAGAAGGGTCCTTGGGGATCGAGTCATACCTCATTTTAGGGATGAATCACCTGAGGGCCAAAACGAAGCCGGTGACCAGCCCAAGGTCACCCGGCTAGAAGGAGGAAGGGGCAGGACTGGAATCCAGATCGGTTGAGTTTGCAAACTTAGCGCGCTTTACTTTTGCCCCTCCAGGCCCTTGGAGTTGCAGGCTCCGGGGGTTTCTGTGGGGCTGCTACGGGGAGCGGGGGGCCCCCACGGGCCTCTGCTCTGCAGACCCATAGGACCGCAGCTGCGGGGAGGGCAGGTCGAGCTGGCGCTAGGGGTGTGAGGGGCCTTCAGGAAGCCCTGCCCAGCCCTGGGAGGCCGCTGCTCCCCCCACTCCCCCGACGAGAGCAAGGCCAGCAGGTGAGAGTCAGAACAGCGGCTGAGGGAGCTCGAGACCCCGCTGGGGGCACTTCGAGTCATGCGCCGAACCCCTCCCTAGCACCACAATTTAAAATCATCAGTTCTTCAGTGCTCAGTTTTCCTTATTGTCCAATTCTCACAGACACACATTGGAAAAAAACAGTTTGACTATACAGACCTTTGTCAGCAAGGTGGTGTCTCTGCTTTTTAGTATACTGTCCAGATTTTCCATAACTTTCCTTCCAAGGAGCAATCGTCTTTTAATTTCATGACCGCATAGATGGTCTAAAAGCTAGTGATTCTTAATACTTTCTGCCACATTTTTCTAATTATCCTTTCACTGTCAGTATAGAAGCAAAATGAGGCTACACAAAACTAGAGTCCATTTTGTATATTTCTTTATTTTGTGAGTTAACAAACCAAAAAATTCATCACTAAATAGTTGGCCTACTAGCAAGGAACTGAAGTGGACTGAGTTGTCACAAAAAAAAAAAAAAACAACCCCCTAGCCTAACCTCCTCAGTTTCTACTTCAAAGGATCGCTAATCCCAATTGTAAACTGCTCTCCTAGGATTGCATCCAGGGGACAGTCGCCGGCCGGCTCCAGTAAATGCTCTCTATTTTCTAATTTGGCGTGTGTCTGGTTACTCTCGGCCCGTCCATTTCATTTGGAGGTCCCACCGAGATCGCCCTCTGGGCACCAGACACGGGCATCTCTGGAAGGCCAGGCTTCTCACCGTCCAGGGGGTGGCCACCAGGAAGACGTTCCCTGGCCCCGAACGCTGAGATAGCCCGTGCGTACCAGGCTGCCCGGACCACAAATCCTCAATTGGGCATAGAGCAATCTGTAATCTGTCTGTTCTGGTGAGTACTCTTCTGAAGTAAGTGGCCAGGCTGGACGCAGCTGCAACGCCCTTACTGACCTCCACGGGACGCCGTGTGAGAGTCCTGCCTGTCTGATTGTGTCTGTCCGGCGCCGATGTCACTGTGTGTGTGTGTGTGTCCACTGTGCGCTCCGTGTCGGGGTGGGGGAGAAAGACTTCCTGCCTCATTCTCCAGGTTGTTCGGAACTGAGACGGGTTTGTTCTCCGCTACTGTGTCAGGAGCATCCAGGGTTTTGACTGTGTCTTTTTTTCCGTTTTTGTGTCGACTGTGTGTGCGCGTCTATCTACTATTTGTTCCGTGAGGGGGGGTGTAAATTCCTGTCTCATTGTCTAGGTCGTTCGGAATTGAGGCAGTTTGATTCCCCTCTACCCTGTTTTGACTGTGTCTTCCCTGTGTCCGTGTTTGGTCCTTGCTTACGTGAGCACGTCTATTTGTTACTCTTTTCTTTCTCAGTCCTTAATCCACCATGGGACAAGGACCCTCGAGCCCTAAGCCAGGCTCCCCTCTCTTTATTGTCTTACGGGACTTCAAACAATATCGGCGTATAGCAGAAGGTTATGGGTTTCAGGTTACTAAAAAGAAATTAGCTCTCCTTTGCCAACAGGAATGGCCCACCTTCGAGGTAGGCTGGCCCCCGGGGGGTACGTTTGACGTCTCGGTGGCCGGCCGGGTCAGGGGAATTGTCTATGGTATACCTGGCCACCCCGATCAGGTCCCCTATATCACCGCCTGGATTGATTTCAAACCCCCTTCGGGACCACTACAGGTCCAGGCCCTTTCAAAACTAAGACCAGGAACGGAATCAAAGACGACCTTTAGCCGCAAGCCTCCCAAAAGTCCTAAGGTCGTCACACAGCTTACTCCTGTCTTACCACCCCCTGATTCTGACCCCCTAGATCCAGCTGAGTACTCCCAGTCCCAGGTTTCAGATCCACCCCCGTACCCAACCTCAGGGTCTCTGAGCCCCTCAGCCCCTCCTCTGATAAGTCCACCCCATACTCGAGCAGGTGCTCCTTATGGCCCTTCTAATTCCAGTTTGACCCCAGATTCCACTGTGTCAGCGTTTCCCCTGCGGCAAGTTCCTTCCCCTCCCGGAGAATCAGGGAGACCGTTCATGGTATATGTTCCCTTCTCCACCAGTGATTTGTACAATTGGAAACAGCAAAACCCATCCTTCTCTGATAAGCCCCAGAGCCTAATCTCCCTCCTAGAGACTGTCTTTTATACTCATCAGCCCACCTGGGATGACTGCCAGCAGCTCCTCCGGGTTCTTTTCACAACCGAGGAGCGTGACAGGATTCTTTTAGAAGCCAGGAAGGGAGTTCTGGACCCAGATGGACATCCCTCTACTGACCTGGGGTGCCGCAACCACATCTTCCCTGAGAACCGGCCCGACTGGGACCCCAACACTGATCGCGGTAGGGAAGCACTGGACAGGTATCGCCAGTTATTGCTGGGAGGGTTACGGGCAGCAGCACGGAAGCCAACTAATATGTCCAAAGTCAGTGAGGTTAAACAGGGCAAGGATGAGTCCCCAGCTGCATACTTAGAGCGCCTCTACGAGGCATATCGAACCTACACCCCTATCGACCCAGAGGATCCCAATAACCGGAGAGCCATCGTAATTGATTTCGTAGCCAATTCAGCTCCGGACATCCGTCGGAAGCTACAGAAACTTGAAGGTTTTGAGGGTAAAAATCTGACTGAACTCATGGAAGTGGCCAAGCGGGTGTTTGACTATCGTGAAGAGACTCAAGACAAGCAAACTCGCACGGTCGCAAGGGCGGTAGTGGCAGCTTTAGCACAGGTTCCAGGGGAGGCTCAGAAGCAAGGGTGGAAAGGAAGGCGGGAGGGGCCAAACGCTGGGCGCCCCTATAAGGGTAAAGGCTTGGGAAGGCCTCCTTTAGCTCGGGATCAGTGTGCTTACTGCAAAGCCATGGGTCATTGGAAATCTGAGTGCCCTAATCGCGGGCTGAAAGAGAAGGCAGAGCCGTTATTGACTTTGAATACAGACTAGGGGTGCCCCGGCTCAAAGTCCGTTGTGACTCTTGACCCCCTGGAGCCGAGGGTTACTCTCAGTGTTGGGGGTCAACCTGTCTCATTCCTAGTCGACTCTGGAGCTGCGGCATCGGTCCTGAAATCCCCACTGGGCTCCCTCTCATCGTCCACTGTGCAGGTCCAGGGAGCTACTGGACGAAAACAGTCTGTACCCCTCACCACTTCTCGGGAAGTCCGGTTAGGGAAGGGCCTAGTCTCCCATTCTTTTCTAGTAATGCCTGATTGCCCTTACCCCTTGCTTGGCCGAGATCTCCTACACAAGCTTCAGGCTATCATTTCCTTTAAGGGACCTAACCCCACTCTCGGGTTTAACCTGCCACAACTTGTTCTCACCTGCCCGTTGTCAGAGGAGTCTCGCCTCCTCCCCCTAACGTTTTCCCCAGACCGCCCCTCGACCACCTCCACCCCTACCTCCCTAACTCTGTTGAACCATTTCAAAGGCTTGGTTCCTGGAGTCTGGGCTGAGACCAACCCGTTTGGTCTAGCAGGACACCAGCCCCCAGTGGTGGTCCAGCTCTCGTCCACAGCAACCCCTGCGCGTGTCCAACAATACCCGTTGACTCGAGCTGCCCTTTTGGGCATCAAGCCTCACATCGATCGACTCTTGGCGGCAGGCATTCTACGACCCTGCCAGAGCTCGTGGAACACCCCCCTACTTCCAGTTTGCAAGCCCGGGTCTGGAGACTTCCGTCCTGTCCAGGATCTACGAGAAGTCAACGCCCGGGTGGAAACTGTACATCCTACTGTGCCAAACCCGTACACGTTGCTGTCTTCCCTGGACCCTGCTCGGACTTGGTATACTGTTTTGGACCTGAAGGATGCTTTCTTTTCCATTCCCTTGGCACCAGTAAGCCAACCTATATTCGCTTTTACTTGGACAGATCCTAACACTGGGACATCCTCTCAGCTCACCTGGACCGGGCTTCCCCAAGGTTTTAAGAACTCCCCTACACTTTTTGGCTCAGCTCTGGCCTCCGACCTGGCCGCCTTCCGGGTCTCGTATCCGGAGGTCACTCTCCTCCAGTATGTTGATGACCTTTTGTTAGCTACTTCCTCTGAGGCAATATGCAAAGATGCAACTCTCCACCTTCTCCAGCTGCTTGAAGCTTCCGGGTACCGTATCTCTGGAAAGAAAGCACAACTGTGCTCTCAATCCGTTGTTTACTTGGGTTTCACCCTTCGTTCTGGTCAAAGGTTACTGTCTCGGGGGCGTGTAGCTGCCATTTTGGGCATGCCCGCCCCGAGGGACCGCCGCGGGCTCCGGGAATTCCTGGGGATGGCTGGATACTGTCGCCTCTGGATCTTGGGGTTTGCCGAGGTTGCCAAACCCCTATATGAGGCCCTAACTGGTGAACCCACCCAATTTGTTTGGGGACCACGGCAGCAGGAAGCATTCGACAAGCTCCGAAAGGCGCTGTCCAGCACGCCTGCCCTCTCCCTGCCAGACCTGTCCAAGCCCTTCCGCCTCTATGTGTCTGAGTCTCGAGCTGTGGCCAAAGGGGTTCTGACCCAGCCCCTGGGGCCCTGGAATCGTCCTGTTGCCTATCTCTCCAAGCAGCTGGACCCTGTGGCTTCCGGGTGGCCCTCTTGCCTGCGAACTGTGGCGGCCGTTGCCGTCTTGGTTAGGGAAGCCGCAAAGCTCACTTTCGGGCAGCCTCTTGAGATTTCAGCATCACATCATCTGGAACAGCTTTTACATTCCCCGCCGACAAGATGGATCTCAAATTCACGCCTGACTCATTACCAATCCTTACTCCTAGATTCCGCGCGCATCTCTTTCGCTCCTCCGGTCACACTCAACCCGGCCACCCTGCTCCCTGACTCCCCTCCTTCCTCCCCTATACATGACTGCCTGGACACACTGGACTCCATCCACACGTCCCGCCCTGGACTTACTGATGTTCCTTTAACAAACCCCGACCTAGTGCTCTTCACAGACGGCAGCAGTTTTGTTCAGGAGGGGATCCGTAGGGCGGGTGCAGCCGTGGTCACTCCGGTTGAGACCCTCTGGGATACCGCTCTACCCCCTGGCACATCTGCTCAACGTGCTGAACTCATTGCCTTAACTCAAGCCCTTAGACTCTCTGCAGGGAGGCGAGTAAATATTTACACAGATAGCCGCTATGCCTTTGCCACTGTTCATATCCATGGATATGTATATCTCCAAAGGGGTCTGTTAACCTCGGCGGGAAGGGAGATTAGGAACAAGAGTCAGATCCAGGACCTGCTGGATGCTGTCTGGCTTCCCAAGGAGGTGGCGGTAATTCATGTTCCTGCTCACACCCGTGGAACTGACCCCCAGTCTCTAGGGAACGCAGCAGCGGATAAGGCTGCCCGAGCGGCTGCCTGCAAACCCTTGATACCCGCTATGGTCGTGGAACCTGAGGGGATGCTTCCTGTCCAACCATCTTATCAATCCAGTGATCCGGATGGCACCCCTGAAAAGGGGGGATGGAGAAGACACCCAAATGGCTTGCTAATTCTGCCCAAGGCACTGTTGCTACCCCTATTGATGACTCTTCATAGCCTTACCCACTTAGGCGGAACCCGGCTTTACGACCTGGTGAGCCGACACTTCTACAGCCCTGGGATGAAGCAGGCGGCCGAGGAAGCCGCAAGAAGGTGCCTTGCATGTGCCAAAGTCAACCCACGATCACAATCAAGGATACCAACTGATAGACCACGAGGAACATTTCCTGGCGACCATTGGGAAGTAGACTTTACTGACATGGGAACTGGGTTGGGAGGGTACCGTTTTCTCCTTGTATTCGTGGACACATTTTCTGGATGGCCAGAAGCATTTCCAGTCAAAACTGAAACTGCAACCGTAGTGGCCAAAAAGCTGTTCTTTGAACTTATTCCTAGATTTGGCCTGCCGGCCTCGATAGGCTCTGACAACGGCCCAGCATTTGTATCTGCAACAATTCAAAGCCTATCAAAGATGCTGGGATTGAAATGGAAATTGCACTGTGCATATAGGCCTCAAAGTTCAGGGCAGGTAGAAAGGATGAATAGAACTCTAAAGGAACACATTGCTAAACTTAAAATAGAAACTGGCGATAGCTGGGTCAGTCTCCTTCCCTTCGCCCTCCTCCGGGCCCGGTGTACTCCCAATTCCTCAACCCTCTCTTTATCTCCATACGAGATCCTCTATGGAGCCCCTCCTCCTATTATTCCAAGAGTATCTGAAGCTATTTCAGCCCCAGATTTTACTAATCCGACTCTTCTTAAGTCCTTCCAGGCTTTGCGTGAGGTCCAGAACGCTGTGCGCTCGGTCCTGAAAGCTGCGGGGAAAGAACCAGCCCCTGCAACCTCATCGGACGCCCTGTCACCGGGAGACTGGGTCCTCACTCGCAAGCTTCCAGCTGGACCAGCCCTGGAACCACGGTGGACGGGCCCGTATCAAATTATCCTCTGCAACCCCTCTGCCGTCAAGGTTGCCGGCCGCAAGGCATGGATACATCGGTCACACATCAAGAAGGCCCCAGAGCCCAACTCCACCGCCTGGACAGCAGAAGCAGTGTCCGACCTAAAGCTTCGACTCTCCAGAACTTGACTCTTCTTCTCTTTCTTTTTGCTTGTGAGATGACTTTGGGTGACCCCTATAGCCCTACCCCATCCAGGTGGATTCTCTCCCGAACTAACGATGGGACCACCGTCCAAGCTCTCACCAGTTACGGAGCCCCCACTTTCAGGTTTGACCTCTGTGCCCTCTTGGGACCAGGATGGAATCAAAACTGGGCTATGCGGGACCCTATCGCTGGGGGATGGGGATACTGCCCCACTTTTCCCACCACTCCAACCATACCCGGGGTAGGGGAAGTGAGAATCAGAAGTATTGAATTCTATGTTTGTCCGGCCACGGGGAATCCTTCCTGTCAGGGTAGTAATCACTTTCACTGTGCAGAATGGGATTGTGAGACTGTGGCCAGGTGGATTCCTAGAAGTGGCCGAGACCCCCTAATCACCCTAGAGAGACAAAGCCCCCTCCCCGCCTCCTGCTGGCCTGGGAAATGTAACCCTATGATTCTAACAGTCAAGCAGGACACTGATGACTCTTGGAATCTCGGACATTCTTGGGGTTTGAGGTTATACATGACTGATTGGGATAACGGGGTCCTTTTTACCATTCAGAAAATCGCAGTTTCCACCCATACACTCCCCATAGGACCGAATCCCATCCTTAACCCACAAGCCATGTTGACTCTCGCCCCACCATCTGTTAGGGACCTGGTACCAGAGGCTCCCGAAAATCCAGAGACCCTCACTAACCTAGGTTCCCCCATTTTTGATACACTCTCTGCTGTCCACTCATTCCTAAATTTGTCTGATCCAAACATAACCACCTCCTGTTGGCTGTGTCTGAATCCAGCTCCCCCCTATTTCGTAGGAATTGCTATCGAACTCAACATCACCTCTGTGGGAAAGTTGTCTTTAAGTAAGTCCAAACAATCCTCTGCCATACCTGCCCGCTGTAACCCAGACAAGCCTAGACTTACCCTAGACGATGTCCAGGGCAAAGGAATGTGTTTGCTCGGGCCTGACTACCCGCTGCGGTCCTCCCCATTCAACGCTACGTGCACTTCAGTCATTCTTATTTCCCCCACATCCAAAAGCTCTGACCTCCTGTTAACCGCCCCACCTGGAGTATGGTTCGCTTGTACCAGAGGACTTACCACCTGCATACAGGACATTCGTTTCCTCAACCCGACCGAGCTCTGTGTAGTGGTGCGTGTCTTTCCTCAGGTATATGTCTACTCAGAGGAAGGGGCAGCTGAGCATATTGGCTTAACTCGCTCCAGGAGGGCTGTACCCTTCTTGGTTCCCATACTGGTGGGACTCGGAGTGGCCGGCTCCGCTGCTGTTGGGGCCTCAGCCCTGATACAGGGGAAAGCCAACTACGGTGCCTTGAGTGCACAGGTAGATAGGGACCTACGCTCCTTGGAAGAGCTAGTCTCACACCTTGAGACTTCCCTAGACTCTCTGGCCGAAGTGGTTCTCCAGAACCGCCGAGGCTTGGACCTACTGTTCCTCAAACAGGGAGGCTTATGCATGGCGTTGGGAGAAACCTGCTGTTTCTACGCCAATCGGTCTGGAGTTATTCGGGAGTCCTTGCAAGCCTTTAGGCAGCGGTTAGATGAGAGGGACCGCGCACGGGCAACGGGGTCTTTTTGGTATCAGACCCTATATAATTGGTCCCCCTGGCTAACCACCCTACTCTCCGGAGTGGTGGGCCCTCTGGCCCTTCTCCTCCTTGGGTTACTCGTGGCCCCTTGTCTCATAAAATGCATCACCCGCTATGTCCAGAAACGAGTGCAAGCACTCCAGTTGTTTGTCCTGCGTCAATCCTATGCTCCTCTGGACTCTGATGAGTCCCCCGTCTGACTCTTTTCGTCCGTGAAAAGGGGGGAGTGAAGTGGACTGAGTTGTCACAAAAAAAAAAAAAAAAAACCCCTAGCCTAACCTCCTCAGTTTCTACTTCAAAGGATCGCTAATCCCAATTGTAAACTGCTCTCCTAGGATTGCATCCAGGGGACAGTCGCCGGCCGGCTCCAGTAAATGCTCTCTATTTTCTAATTTGGCGTGTGTCTGGTTACTCTCGGCCCGTCCATTTCAGGAACCTCTCTGTAATTTAGATTGATTGGAAGTGTAGCACAATCCAGGACTCTACCCTGCTTTCCAGCAGATTGTAACCTACCAGAGTTTGTACTCTATTGATATAGTCTTCAAAAACCCAGGATCAGTTCCATGCTTAAATAAGCATCAGAACAGAACATACTGTGGAGAAATTCAGATTCAAGTAATTAAAAAATAAAGCAACATCTGAAATAGGTATCTTCTTCAGACAAATATGAAAAAGGTAGGCTGAAACCCTTCTCTACAAGTAGGCATATTGAAATGCATAATACCATGATATTCATTGGGCATTGAAAACACCCATATTTCTGTGAGTTTGCTAACAATTGCAGGGCACATCACATATAACAACATAAGAATATTTCTTATTTCTGTGCAGGCTAACCTTCAGGGGTATGATGATAAAGAAAATGTGATAGAAGCAACAGCAGCCATATCAGAAATTTGCTGCAATATAAAGCCTAGCGAATCTTAGCATAAATGACAATGAGCCACCAGATTTGGAATAACTAAAATACGTAGGGGTAAATTGCTGAAAAATAACTGGGGGTAAAGGTAAAGGCCAAACTAAAATGCATTCATGTTAGAAAAAGTACATTCCTTTTATAAGGCAAAGAGGGAACATTCCTCTAGGGACTAAAACTGCTATATAAAGAAATGGTGAAAGCAGTGACACTCCTAAAGGTAACAAAATTTGAATTTCTTTATTTAGGCCAAGAACTGTGATTTCATTGGCATAGGGAACTCCCTGGGGGTAGAATCCCTCCACTAGTGCAGATTGGCACCTGCTATGCAATTTACAATCTTAGCAAAATGCCTGGACCACTTGAAAGTACAAGTGACTTGCCCAGGGTCACACAGCTAGTATGTGTCAGAAATGAGACTTAAATAAAGGTATTCATGACTTTTGGGCCAGCTCTCTATTCATCATGCACATTGCCTCTGCAGAACTTTTTATTAGTATTTTTAAAGGTTGTTTAACAAAGTAAAGAGAGGAGAAGTGATAAGAGGTGCTTAATAATTACTTGTTGAATGAAAACATTATTAATGAGGAGTTCTAACTCCTTACTCTTGAACCCCTCAAAATGTCAAGTCATTTGAAGTTTTCAACTTAGGGCAAATGAATCCAAGGGCTATTGAAATAAGGTTAGACTTTTTCTTTTTTGCCACATTTAGGAGATAAAGTGCTAATTTATTTACTTACAATCTTACTATTTAATTACCAAAAAAAAAAAAAACTGAGGAAGGATCAGAAGATTGGACAAACAAATAGAAAATGGTAAATGTTCCTTTAAAGAGTATTAGGCTATAATTCTAACATTCATATTCTTACAAATAATGCAGCTGATGCAGGGAGGGGCTAGGGATGTGAGTAATGGTTAGAGATAGAAGGGGAGGGAAGGATGACTTCTCAAGAGCTCTAAATAACCAAATGATTGGGAGTAAACAACCAGAGTTTAAAAGGAACAAATCAGACCTTCAGACCTCAGACCTTTTGGCTTGAGGTACAAGATTGAGCAGATGTTACTTTGGAATTTTAGCAACAGACCTGATATTGTTTTCTGAGGTTTTTACCAACAAAAATTATACTGTTTGGATCAGAACAATTGGACAGGGATGAAAACTGGCTGACAGACAAAAGGAAATGGTGACACATTAAAGAAAAATGTTGAATAGAGAGCTGCAAGTGTCCATGGACATTAAGCTCAAGGGAATAAATGATGTGGCAGAAGCAGCACCACTTGGAGTGTCTACTAAACCAGAAGTCATGGGTGATATGCAAGGATAAGTAAATTACTTGGCAAGTAAAACAAAGCATGAAATATATATGGGAAAACTACAGCTTGAATATATGTAGGTCCATTTATTGATCAAAAAAAGGAATCTTACCAATATTAACAATAACAACTGAAAAACTTTAAGTTTGCAAAGCTCTCCTTATATAGTATTTCATTAAGAGACAACTAATAGGCAATGTGTGAAATTCCTTAGCTTGCCAATTGAGTGGAGCCTTCACAATCTGCCTCCGAATTTCTTTTCAAACTTGCTTCATACTACTCCCTATTTAAATACTCTATCATCCAACCAAATTGGAGCACTCACTATTCCTTAATCCCAATTTGGTCTCTTAAACCTGGATGCGTTTGCATATACCTTCCTGAGTGCCTGGAATGGATTTGTTCCAATCTCTTCTTCATGAAATCCTTTTCTTGTCTAAGATCACTAAGATCTTCAAGATCTAGTCCAGATGTCTTCTGCCTTCCTTTAGCCCCTCTTGCCTAGATGTAATTACGATCTCCCTGAATCTCTCACATTAATCTGTTTGACCTACCCTATTAACTCAATCATATCCTAACTTTCTTTTATTTGCTTACCTATCCTATCCCTTCATTAACTACAATGTAAATTCCTTGATGCTAGAAAATGTTATTTTAAAAAAAACCTTTTATCTGAAGCACAGTGCCCTACACATATCAAGCATTCATAAAAATTTGTTGACTTTTGGAATATGAAATTTGAAATATGAACTTTCAAATTAAAAAAGACATAGATATTAGAGGTAAATAATTTAGTCTGAGCTAAATGGAAAAAAAGACAGGATGAAAATGAGGAAGAAAAAATTAAAAGTGAAATATCAATTAAAACAAACACTTCCAGGCAGGGAGAATAATTAAAACTAAAATGGCTCTCAAAGGAAATTAATTGTTTTAAAAGATGATGTTATAAACTAGCTTATATCAAAAGGTATTATTCACAATGAATTAATAACCATACTCAACATAAATGCACCAAATGACACAACATCTAAATACTTATAGTAAAAGCTAAATGAGATACAGGGAGAAATAGATAGCAAAACTATAGCAGTGGAGAACTCAAAGTACCTCTTTCAAACCAAGACAATTTTAACCAAATGAT